AGAAAGAAACCCGCCAATACAACAAAGTTTGATCGGTACGATTGATATGTTCCCACTTCAGCATTTTTGTAAAAACTCACATGTGTACCTATAAAAGAGAAAGTTAAGAAAAGTTTTTTTAAAAGGTCTATTCGTTTTTGAGGGCGCTCACAAGTGGGGGCGGGGGCAGAGAGAGGAGACAGAGGACCTGTCTGATACAGTGGGTTCTGCACTGACAGCAGGGAGCCCCGTGTGGGGCTCAAACTCGTGAACCAAGAGATCGTGACCGGAGCCCAAGTCAGACCAGACCCCCAAAGTGCTGGCATTCGGAGCTGGGGCCTCCGGGAGGTGGTTAGGTTAGACGAGATCATGAGGGTGAGGCCTCACGATGGGATGAGAGTCTTATAAGAGGAAGAGACCAGAGGGCCCCTCCTTCTCAGCCGTAGGAGGATTTAGCAAGAAGGCACTCATCTACCAACCACAAAGAGGTCTCACCAGAGCCTGACCGTCCTGGCACCCTGATCTTGGACCTCTAGCCTCCATAATGGTATCTTGCTACAGGAGACCAAGCTGGCTAAGACAATTCCCATTGCAGCGGAGCTGGAACCAGCAAACTGCTTCTGGGACAAGTAGCACGGGGACTTAAATTCTCACTAAAGTGTAAACGACTACTACCAGATCTGTGAGCTGACTTTGGGTGGAGGGTTGGAGGGAGCACTAAGTCTGAAGAAAGTTTGTCACTCTACAGGTTGAAGGCTTAAGAGGAGAAGTGATACTTCTGCTGGCTTTGCTGGCTCTGCTAAGGGAAAAAACATACAGATCCGGGTTCAAGTCTCCACCGCCTCACTTATTGGCTGGGTCACCTTAGGCAGGCGGAGCTAAAGGCACTTACCTCACATGGCTGTTTCCGAGTTAAATGGGATAATGAAAATATGCGTAACACAGGGTCAATGTGTTTTTTTTTTAAACAAGTTCTTTTATTTCATTTTATTTTAAATTTATTTATTTCTTTTTAGAGAGAGCGGGAACAGGGTAGAGGGGCAGAGAGAGCTGACCATTTGCTGGCCCTGCTTCCTCAGCCTACAGGAAGCTGGTGGGAGGGGGTCAGGGGCTCTTCCTGTCGCCGTCACCCCAAAGAGCTGTGAGAGTGAATAGAGCTGGGTATCGGAGTGTGTGTGTGTGTGTGTGTGTGTGTGTGTGTGTGAAAGAGAGAGAGGGTCCCGGTCCAGGCCTTGTCCCTGGAGAGCTTTGAAACCCTGTGAGATCAGCTCACAGCGACCTGGTCCCCCGCGGTACGTCTGCTCTGGTTGGGGCTCCTTGCTGTCCAGGCCAGGCCGTGGGTCCCCCCCTTGATATTCATGGTCCCCCTGGTCCGGAATGACCGTCCATCAGCCATCACTCCTCTCCTGATCCTTCCCAGCCCGGCCTCCTCCACACCAGGTCATCACTTTCCCTCCTTGGTGTCCAGAGTCCCCCCCATTCTCTCCTCCCTCAAAATTCTGCCTCCCACGTGGCCAGGAGATGCCCTGAGCGTTACAAAGGCCTGTGGCAGGTGGGGCAGTCAAACAATTCTGCCTTTTCAATGGGTTGTCTGTCAGGGACCCAAGAAAGGTGGCTTCGTGTCTTCAAACTAAAGAACTGGCAGTTTGGGGTCAAAATTGCCCCAAATCATGTACCCGTGGCGGGAAATGGTGGTGGTGGCCGACGGGACCCAAACAGGCAGTTGCATCTGATTTCGAGGAAGAAGGGTGCAGGGTCCCTAATGCCGCCGTTCCCTCTGCGTCAGCCCACGGGCTGTCGAGCTGTGGTGGCACACATTGGTTTATTTGCTGTTTTCAATATTTATTGCCTAATGAAATGACAAATTGCATCGGATGCAGCTGTCTTGTCAATGAGGAAGCGGAGTAATTAAGTGTTAAAATTATATTGCTTCAGTCCCCAAGCTGTGCTGGCTTCGTGTAAATTGAACGGCTATAAAAGATCCCGCACAGGCTTGGTAAATGGCCTGTCACATCCTGGAGGAAGGGGACTCCACGGTCAACAGGACCTTCTGGACTTCTCATGTCAGAAATGACAAATGGACCATGCTTTCCTCCTTAGTAATGATCATTTGTCACTGCTGGGGGCAGAGGAACAGGCCAGGGTGCTCATTTGCCTAATCTGCGGAGGATGGCCCTGTCGGGTGAACTGTAAGTGCCCGGGCAGTGCTGGGGGCACCCGGAGGCCAAGTTTGGTCAACGGTAAAGACCCAGGTGCAGCTTCTCTAGGTCCCCCGGAAGCCGTGTGATGAGCCCAGACTTGGCCCTCCCAGCCCAGCACACCGTTCTCCCCACTTCCGACCCCTCGCCCCATTTCTGATGCCAAGACTAAGCACCTGTTCCTGGACCAGTAGGTATTAAAAAAAATTTGTTTTTGAAGTTTATTTATTTTGAGAGAGAGAGAGCAAGCAGGGGAGGGGCAGAGAGGGAGGGAGAAAGAATCCCAAGCAGGCTCCGTGCTGTCAGCACAGAGCCCAACGCAGGGCTCAATGACACACAAATCGTGAGATCATGACCCAAGTCAAAGCCAAGAGTCGAGGGTCGCCTGGGTGGCTCGGTTGGCTGAGCGTCCGACTTCGGCTCAGGTCATAATCTCGTGGCTCATGAGTTCGAGCCCCGCATCAGGCTCTGTGCTGACAGCTCAGAGCCTGGAGCCTGCTTCAGATTCTGTGTTCTCCCTCTCTCTCTCTCTGCCCCTCCCCTGCTCACACGCTCTCTCTCTGTCTCAAAAATAAATAAACATTAAAAAAAAAAGGTCAAGAGTTGGATGCTTAACCGACTAAGCCACCCAGGCGCCCCTGGGTATCTCTCTTAAGTTGCGGTGACATATGTATTACATGGTATTTTTCAATGTAACCATTTGTAAGTGACTAAATTCAGTGGCGTTCAAAACATCCCTGTTGCTGTGTAACCATCATTATTATCTACACCTGGAACTTTTTATCATCTCAAACTCAGTCCCCATCAGACGATAGCCCTCCCTTCCTCCCCCCAGCCCCTGGCAACCTCTACTCTATTTCCTGCCTCTATGAACTTGTCTGCTCTGAGTACTTCAGTTGAGAACCCTAGAGCATTTGTCTCTCTGTGTCTGGCTTATTTCCCTAAATGTTTCTAAAGTCTATCCGTGTCATGGCATCTATCAGAATTCCGTTGTTCTGTATATTCCACTAGGCCGGCTTTGGGAAGGGTCCAAGCGGCCCTGCTCGGCCACACGGGTCCCACTCAGCCCTGGGCCCTGCCCAGCCATCACTGTGGGGCGTGAGGCCAGGCCTCTGGGCCGCCTGCGCCCGAGGACGTGGTGGACCCCTCCTTTTCCATCCGTCCTCTTTGACTCCGGGTTCACAAGCCACGGGTGCGCGGAGGGGTTTGCGGGGAAAACACGGGAGAAGCCAAGAGCGAGTTATTCCTTGGATTTTGTGAAACACCAAGACGGTGAGAAACATGAAGCAGAAAATCCGTTTGCTTTTGTATAACCAGTCGCGCAGAGCGACCCTCTGTGTCTGTTGCCATGGGGACCGTGGGAAGGTGAACTGCCCAGTTCATCTCAGGGCCTGTGGGGCGGAGGACCATTGGTCAGTGCCGGGGTGGTTAGTGAGAGGCAGGCCCGTCTACCGGCCACACCTTCGCGCTGGGCACGTCTCTCCACTCAGGACACCTGGGGAGCCTCACCTTGCGTGGAAACGTGACTTGAGTCCTGGCACCCCCGTGGCTATTATGTGATCGTGAAGTCACTGAACATTCATCTCAGAAGGAGCCAGGATTCCTTCTTTCTACAGGTGAGGAAACTGAGGCCCTGGGGAGCAGTGGTGGGGGATGCCAGGGCCCCTCATCTGGGAATTACTTATCATGGCTGTGGCCCGAAACTGGGTCTCCTGATTCCTCTGCTGCCCCCTCCCCCAGGGCCGGCAGACTGACAAGGGGGCAGTGGGTCTGGGGGAGAGCAGTCAGCCCCCCGTGCGACCAGACTGGTGCTCATTTCCACGCAACACTTGGGATCATCAATATTTGGGTCAGAGAGACCCTTTTCACCCTTAAGGGGCGGCTGGGTGGCTCGGTCGGTTATGCGTCCGACTCTTGGTTTCAGCTCAGGTCAGGATCTCGCGGTGTGTGGGTTGAACCCCGTATTGGGCTCTGTGCTGACAGTACAGGGCCTCCTTGGGATTCTCTCTCTCTCTCTCTCTCTCTCTCTGCCCCCTGCTCCTGCTCTCTCTCTCTCTTTCTCAAAATAAATAAATTAACTTAATCCATTTTGCTCTTGAAATATTTAACTTACTGAGATGGTGATGGCTGATATTATGTTCTTCTTTTGAAAATAAAGTTTATTTTATGTGGGGGGGGGGGAGGGGCAGAGAGAGGGAGAGAAAGAATCCCAAGCAGGCTCCACATGGTCAGCACAGAGCCCAATGCAGGGCTCGATCCCACCAACCATGAGATCACGCCCCGAGCCAAAATCACGAGTCGGATGCTTAACCGACTGAGCCACCCAGGTGCCCCTGATTTTATGTTCTCGAAGAATCCCTCATGTTTTATTGCTTTTAAGGGAGAAAGATAATCAAGCCCAACAAAACACTGTGTAACTCATTACTAGATGCTGAGGAAGTCACATTAAATATGAGAACACAGAATGAAAGGGGACAAACGGACTCTCCTTGTGAGCAGGTCAGGGAACAGCAAAGAACGTATCGGTTAGGATTAGGCTCACCGCTAGTGACTCAGCCCGATCACAGAGGCTTAACCGCACAAAGTTAGCTTATCAGTTCACACAAAAGTTCAGAGGTAGTTGCTGTAGACTGAATGTTTGTGTCCCCTCCCCACCCCCCCCAGCCAAATTCGTATGTTGAGGCTTAATCCCCAATGTGATGGTGTTGGGAGGTGACGCCTTTGGAAGGTGCTTAGGTCATGAAGGTGGGGCCCACAGGAATGGTCTTATGACCTTATAAAAGAGTTCCAGAAAGTTCCATAGCCCTTTCTGCCAAGTGAGGGCACAGCGAGAAGACGGTCGTTTATACACCAGACAGCAGACTCTCACCAGACACCAAATCTCTGGGCACCTTGACCTTGGACTTCCCAGGCTTCAGAACCATGAGAGATAAATAAATACATTTTTATTTACAAGTCACTTAGTTTTTGGTAGTGTGTTAGAGCAGCTCAAACGGGCTAAGACATGAGGCAACCCAGGGCTGGTGTGGTGATGGCACAAAGTCATCGAGCTCCTTCCGTCTTCTGTTTTGCTGCGCATCACCTCTAATCGCAAGGCAGCCTCACGGTCTCAACTGGCTGCTGGAGCTCCAGCCATTGTGTCCGCCGTCAAAGCAGCAGAAAAGGAGACAGAGAGGAAGAAGGGCTGAAGCGCCCCGGCTTTTTGTGTCCCCATATAGGTCAGTCATTGGTGAAGGGGTGTCTGGGTGAGGGGAGGAGGGGAGGGGCAGCCCACAGGCATTTCTGGGCGAGGTGACTCCCACGGGCAAGTCTTTCTGCGCCAGGACTGTGCCCCAGGGCAGCCTCGCTCAGGCTTGGGGGGCGGGGGGCGAAGTACACTGGCCTGGTGAATGGGGGCTGGCAGAGGTGACCCCGTGGCCTTGTGTTTTGCTTTTGGCCAGCTGACCCCCACAGCTGGCTCCGGGTACTCCAGCCCACAGCGTTGGTTTCCCTCTCGTTCTGTTCCTCCCTCTCCGCCTGTTCCAGCTTCCCCTGAAACCCTGCTCCCCTTCTCTGTCTTCCGTTTTCACCCAAGACTTGCCTGCCCCGTTCCGTTCCTCTGGAGTCTCTCCCTGGCCGCCTCGGATGCCATCTGTCACTGACCCTCGGGTCCCCTCCGCTTCCGGCTGGGCCACCCCGTCCCGCCCACCCGGGCCCGTCGAGAAGGGAGACGGGGCCCAGCAGGACATCATCACCCTCGAAGCCACCCTGCCAGGCGCTCAGGTGAGAAGTCCGGGGTCCCCAGGAGGGGCCGTGAGGGACCCGAAGGGGCCCTGGGCCAGCTTAGAGCAGAGCAGGGCCATCACCTCTCTGCTCTTGGGTGCGACTTCGGGAGCTCTGTCCACTGCTCTCTGTGGCCGCCTGCAAAACTAGCCTTCCGGGGGCAGGATCCCCCACTGTCTGTGCTGTCTGCAATTGCGCACTGGGTCAGAGGGAGACAGTTGGGAAGGGAAACAGCTGGGCTATTTATTAGAAGAAAGAGCTGCCAACCCCAGACAACAGCAGAGAGAGATGCCTCTTTGAATAAAACAGGCCACCGCACACACTTCCTCCGGCGAGAAGGGCGCAGCGGGGGCCGTACTGACACCTGCGGGCCTCCCACGGGCCTGCGCTTTGCCCTGGGGTTTTTTCTGTATTTGTCCTTTGTCGAGAAGGGGTGTCGGTGCGGGGGCCCCGGCACAGCTGAACGGCGACATTCCCACCACGGGGTTCGTCAGCAGGTCCGGCTGGACGCTGGTGTTCTGCCCTTGAAAATAAAAGCCCGAGTTTTTCCTCGGGGATGCGGGGACGGCTAATTACTGACACGTAAACTTGCAGGGATTTCCAGCTCTCAAGTGGTTCTTCCTTAAGGCCGTAGAAGTTTGAAGATATTTAGGTATGTATTACTTTTTTTGGAAAACTTTTACAGAGAGAAATAGGGAAAGAGCAGCGGACAAGGGCAGAGAGAGAGGGAGAGGGAAAAATTCCAAGCAGGCTCCACGCTGTTATCTCAGAGCCCCACTCGGGGCTCGATCTCACAAACTGGGGGATCACGACCTGAGCCGAAGTCGGATGCTTGACTGACTGAACCACCCAGATGCCAACACCCTGCTTTTTTTTTAAAATAAGGATTTTATTTGCTTGTTCGTTTTAGAGATGGGGGGAGGGGGGGAAAGAGAGAGAGAATCTTAAGCAGCCTCCATGCCCAACACGGAGCCCAGGGTGGGGGGGGGCTCCATCTCGGGACGCTGACATCATGACCTGAGCTGAAATCAAGAGTTGGACGCTCAACCAACTGAGCCACCCAGACACCCCCTTTTTTAAAGTAGGCCTCATGCCCCGTGTGGCGCCTGACACTGAGGCTCAATCTCACGACCTTGGGATCATGACCGAAGCTGAGACCGAGAGCTGGACACTCAACTGACTGAGCCACCCAGGCACCCTAGATTTGTTTCTGTTGACCCGGATGGTTGGCCTCCAAGATATTCTGAAGTGGAAAACGCCAGTTGTAAACAAGATTATACGGTATTACCCACTTTAAAAGAACAACAACATGCAGACTCAAAACCTACGTACGTGCATGAGTTAGTGTGACTGCAAATCAGGAAGGGAAAGCAGAGTCGAAAGACATCTTCACCCCTAATATGACCTATCTGTCATCTATCATCGATCTATTTATCTATTATCTATCTATCTATCTATCTATCTATCATCTATCTCCAAACCCCAAGTTCACACAGATACTTTCTAATGCAATTCAACCCCCTAGGGCTCGCTTTAGGTTTCCCTCTTTCCAAATTTGTAAACTCAACTTCTACGACAAAAGACCGGCCTCCCGTTATCCTTATGTGTTTACCTATTAGAGCAACGTGACCAATCTCTTCTCACTGGCACTGCCTCCTCCCCCTAAGCAGATGCTCCCCTCTCCGATCCTGTGCTAGGAGATCGCCCGGCAGGTCTCCTCACCCTGCTGGACGCCCTGCCCAGGCTGTACCCGCCATGGATGTCCTTCTCCGTGTCCACCTTGCCTGGGCTCCAACCCATTGAGCTGGGCTGCCTCCTGGCCCTCCCTCCGTGGGGACGCCCCCTGACCTCGCTTGGGTTCCCACATCTCATGCCACCCCCATTACGTGGACGTCCCCTCACTCGGCTCTGGTTCCGACACTGGTATTGGGCCGCCACCTCCTTGTCTGAAGGCCTTCTTCACGCTCTTGGGCTCTGACACCCAAGCTGCTTCCGCCAAGCCTCAAAGACCCCCTTTTCTCTGTGACCGGACCCTGACTTCTTACCCTGGGCCTGCAGTTCTTCTGGCCCTCGCAGGGCCACCTGCCTGATAGCACCGCTTTCGGGCTTTGGACTGAAATGTTCAGGAAGAACTGAAGTTGTTAGCTAATTCTTTACCTCAAACGCTCCCAGCTACTTCCTGTTTCTAAACCCATCCACCGGTAGCCACTTAGCCCCCTTTTCATCATTCCCAACAACTCGAGGGATCTACAACAGTTGTTGCTGAGACGCGGAAAGCGGAATTAAGATGCACAGCCGCTGACAAAGGGGAGACGACGTTAGCATTGTTTGCTCACGGATGGAGACACACAAAATCCTCAAGAGAATCAGCTAAAAACTACTGCGCCGGTAAGGGAAGTCATTAGAATGTCCACATACAGAAAACCCACACATATCACTAGCTTTCTTGTAAACCAACAGAAACCATTAGAAGATCAAACAGGAAAAGGTTCCTTTTGCAACTGCCTTCACCCTCGGGGCTCCAGGGAGGCTGGGGGTCCAGCATGTTGGAGGGCCCGTCCTGGGCGGGGCCCGGCCGGGGACCCCCTTCGTAGGACCAGGGCACCCCAGCACGTGACACTCAATTTCACGACTTGTTTTCTTTTTCCGTCTGGGAAGCAAATGGGAGGGCTGTCTGCTGTCATTAAGTGACAGGAAGCTTTGTGTGCCCCTTTCTAGAAGATAAATTACACATTTCCAGAACGTGTACTACTTACAAAATCCCTCTGAGAAATCACTCTGCCCAGAATTTGCCTGGGTGTTTTTTAACGTTCTTACTAAAGAACAGAGAGAGGGGATGGCCCATGGAACCTGCTTCGAATGAGGACATTCTGCTCAGGAAGCTGCGCCCAGAAGGCGCCCCCGGCCACTCTCCGTGGGTGTGGGCAGACCGCCCACCCAGTCTGCCCCAGGAAGGCGACTCCTGTCCTGAGTAGGCCTGACATGTAAAAGGGAGAAGCCTCACCAGCACAGGGATTTGAAGCCATACGTGGTCATTGTCTGAATGTTGTGTGACATCACCTTGGGTCAAAAACCAGGCACCGACAAAGCCGCCCCTCTCTGAGACGAACAGCTGTACGGGGAGGGTCTCCGTGATCGACTAGGTGTTTTGTCGATTCATTGCTTTCACTCGTCTCTGCCTTGCTTTAGCAAAGCAGGCCTGGCCCCGAGGGCCATCCCTGGTTTGGGAAAAAGTCTGCGGGATGTGTGGGCTGTACGGGCCTAGTGTCCCTTTTGGGGTTTGAGGAGAGACCCGGAGGGCCCAGCTGCCATCCCACCATGGCTTGGGTGACCAGGTAGACAGTGGTGGTCTCGGATAGGCATCCAGGAGCAGCAGGTGTGGAGGGCAGGTGGTGAGTTTGGGTCACGGTCAGTTGGGGCACCTTGATAAGGGGAGTGACTGCAGGGAGGGCACGTGGATCCCGTAGGGCCTCTGTGAGCAGTATCGCTCAGAACCCTGTTTGTTTCGTGGCTGACACAGGCCCCCACTCTAACAGGGTGGTTCTTTGGGGATCGGAGTCAACTCAGGCCCCATGTCCCGTCACCCTCAACATGTCTGCTGACTCTCCCTTCCCAGCCTACAGCCACCCGAGTGAGGAGCTGCAGGTCCCCACGGGGAAGGACTTGGGGCACCATCGAGGCAAAATCTGCCACGACGTCCTGGGGACCTTGCCCGAGGGCACCGACCACTTACTTAGTAGGTCTGGGATCTGAACATTTGGTTCGGGTCTGGGGAACAGAGCAAGGGGCCATAATTTTTAAACTTAGGGTGGCCGCCCTCAGCCCCTGGCTCCCTCATTCTCGTGGTTTTTTGTTTTTTGTTTTTTTAATTTTTTTTTTCAACGTTTATTTTTGGGACAGAGAGAGACAGAACATGAACGGGGAGGGGCAGAGAGAGAGGGAGACACAGAATCGGAAACAGGCTCCAGGCTCCGAGCCATCAGCCCAGAGCCTGACGCGGGGCTCGAACTCACGGACCGCGAGATCGTCACCTGGCTGAAGTCGGACGCTTCACCGACTGCGCCACCCAGGCGCCCCTCATTCTCGTGTTTTATTGGACGTAAATGTTCAGCGGTGCCCTGTTGGCTGCCTGTCGATCTCGCCCCTTGGGCACCCAGCTCTGCTAACCGTCCCCTCAGCTCCTTGCTGGGAGAAACGCCTGCAGACACACTCGGTGCCGGTTCAGGGCCAAGGCCCCTTCAGGGATGTCATCGGGGCCCATTAATGGGTTGGGGGGAGGCCCGGATATCCCCTCTGAGGGGAAGGTAAACTGTGTACTGTCTTTTACCACAAAGAAGGAAGCCAGGGGCCTTGCTGGTCATGGGAATTGTGGCCTCCCGGCTTCTGGTGGTCCAGTCACCACCGGGTCCCTATGACTCTGGACCCTAACATCCCCTGGCAAGGGCCCTTGTGTGTCTCAAGACAATCCTGTGTCTCCAGATAGTGTCCCCGTCCATGAACTCTTGCTTGCCAGTCTTAACATTCCCCCCCACTTCGAATCCAGTCTAACGAGTAACTCTCCCACCCCCGGGGGGGTTGCCTGACTGCCTGTTTTCTTGCAGCAGCCCTCGCACCTCTGGGGTTAGTTTGGGAACCCGGAGAAGCAGACACCGTCTCACGGTGAAAGACAGAAGGGGTCTGGCCCGTGGGAGAAGAAAGGGCGGAATGTGGAGTGGCCAGGCGAGCTGGGGAGCCCCGTGCAGGCATTTCGGGGGGTGGGGGGTGGCGAGGTGGCCATCAGGGAGTCCTTGAGCCACGTGACCTGTCGGAGGCGACCCATCTCCCAGGAAGGGGTCTGCCTCCGAGTCCCTGCCCCTCCGTCCTGACCCGAGAGTGCATCTGCGCAGGCGCGAGTTACGTTCCCTGTGAACGGATCTGAAACGTACAACCTCGTGGCAGCCGCTCGCTCGCTGAAAAGAGCGGCTTAATAGCCCTGACTTGCTACAACCAGAATGACTGTC